TGCCCATTGTATAGTAAACAAAACGTTTTTACATTGCATAATGGGAAATAGCATTTTGAATCGTAATTTAGAAAAATACCACGGCATTCCCTATCGCCTGGCGTTACGCACGTTCTTTTAGCGGAGAATCAGCGCATCCATTACACCGATACCGACCTCTTGGTTGAGTGAGTGTTGGTGGAGACGAGGTGTCTGATCTTCTGCAGCAGGAGCACCATCATGTTGAGCCGGCTCTCGCTGCGGACCCGCACCTCGGCGCGGGGCGTCTCATCGGTCACCACGAGGTGACCGGCACTGGCGGAAAGAGGGCAAGGGTAGCTCAGGGAAGTGTTTGGGTAGACGGTGTGATGGAACTACGCCCAAGTAGGAAAAGATGTTACTCGATAAGACGAACTTCAGATATATGCATAGATAAGACAGAAGCCGTAAAACCCAATTCGACGGATGCCGGCTGCAACATCTAAATGCCTCAAATTAGAAGCACCGACAGTATCGCATATCACAAATTGGGCACATGAGCGATTCTCACAATTTACGCAAAGCACTTACTCGGTGCAGAGTTGAAGGTCCCGCCATCTGGTCTTAGCAGGCAGCAGCAGCTCGGGAGTTTCGCCGCGTTCCCGACAGGTGGCGACTGCGGCGAGCAGCGCGTCAATCCGCGCCAGAACCGTCTCCATCTGGACGGGTCGGCGCGGGTCACGGCTCCTGGCGGCAAGACGAGCAGCCCGGGTCTTACGCGGTGGTTTGGCGGCTGATGTGCTGGCCGCAGAGGCTGCAGGTGGGCTGTTTTCAGAGACGCCTTTTGAGACGTGTGCTTGAGTGTTGTCCTCGGTAGGCGGCGTAGATGTTTCTGAGCCGGTACACTTGTGCTGACTACAGCTCACTGGCATTCCAGCTGATGTTTGAGAACTGGTTTCCAGGGGTTGAACTGGTGCAGCAGCATCAACTTGCATAGGTAGAAGATACGAAGATTCGGTAGTTACGGCCCGCAACAACGGCGGAGACGTAGGTAGCTGGGACGGTCCCTTCTCCTTGGACCGTTGCAGTGGGAGAGACGTCCACCTGACAGGAGACTGGGGGGTGTCTAACAGAAGTGGTGACTGCTGAGATGTAGGTCGTGACGTATCTTTGGGATACGATGTATCGTGTTTGCCAGATGCTGGAGTGTCCTGACTCACGGCTTCAGTGCCAACGTTCGCTTCGCATGAGATCGATCTGGCAGTTAATTCATCGATACAGCGAGGGTTTGCGGTTGGAGTGTTCACTTCCGACTCGTTGCCTGAAACATCAGCTATCGGGAGACCAGCATGCTCTTCAACTCCTCTAATGGATACTGCGGCAGTCTTTGGCGCAGCATCAGCATGACGTAGGCCTTCGGCAGCTGATACTGCTGGCATAGACGATTGACTGGCGACAGTAGGAGACGAAGTCCGTGTAACTTTGCCTTGCACAGTTTCAACAGAGCGTTTTCCTGTTTCTAGACGGCCTACAGTTGGTTGGCATTCCCGTCGATGCCTCTTTGCGGTGTTCTGCGTTTCAGCGTCATGTGTCCCTTGCATTCGGTGTTCGCTTTCTTCGAAACACAAGCGCTTGGCGACATCTCCTTGGGAGGTAGAGGGAGTTTTACTGCCTTGCGCTGCATGGAGTGAAGGTTGGGTACCTTGACGAACTAAGGAGTGACGGCTAATGTCATCAGTGAAAGAAGCTGTAGACTCTCGACTAAAACGGCATGTTGTTTCTGCGCCTTCGTGTACGGAACCATGACTTTGCAGCATGAGGTCGCTAACTTCTGATATGAGTTCATCGACCAGCACCTCATCCAGGTCATCATAAAGATGGTCGAGTTTGCTACCGGTGCCCCTCTGATGTGACGCATGATCATCGACATCGGGATCCGCTAAGTCGTCGCGTAGCTCTACGCGAGAGCTTCTCTCATTTTGGCGAGCACGGCAAGGTGATGCAGCGGGCTCCTCCAGGTCATCAAAAAGGGCATTATTGTGCTCCACTGTTTCCGGTAGAGGGCGAGGAGCTGGTTCATCCAGATCATCTCGCAAGTCATGCACAGATGCCACAGGCGCAGGGAGCGGCAGATCTGCAGGCTCATGGAGATCGTCGCGACATTCCGTTGCAAACGCCCGTGCGTATTCCTCAGGTTCATCAAGATCATCCACCATTTGGAGCCGAGTCCTTTGCCAAGATGACTGAACCACCGGCTCGTCGAGGTCATCTCGTACCCGAAAACCATGGCGCCTCTCGGTATACGGCTCGACCAGATCATCAAGATCATCTTCTAAAGTTTCATGAGCATGGCCATCTTCCAATTTTATTGGTACCGTGACAGGCAATCCATACAGTAAGGATATGCTCTCAGGTGAAGGCTGCTGTGGTTGTGGCTTTCCCACGCTTTGTTCTCTACACCGGTCTCCACTTATGTTAAAACTCGTCGCAAACGTGGTTAATCTCGGTTGGAAGAACGAGCCGGTGCTGACAGTAGGCGCAGCGTGTATGGGAGAACCTCGGGCATAACCAGTCCTTTCATGTCCGTTGAAGCATCCCACATGGAACGTTTTAGATTCAAACTCATCCGCCGGCTCGTCAAGGTCGTCATACTCCATTCGCAGGCATCAAGTAAAAAATGAGCAAGAAGTCACTTCTATTCAGTCTCACGAACACGAGATTCAGAAGTCAGAAGCTGCGCTGAAGCTGAAGATGTTGAGCGCTCTGCACTATAGGAGCTTATCAATTATTAACCCGCGCATGACTGGGGGGGAGGCTCTCGTTTTCCTGCGATCTCCAAAACGCTTTCTGTATCGAGCATCGAGTTCGACACGAAACTTTCAGTACCTTTGGCTGGTCTGGTCTGGATAAGTTAAAAGTTTAACACCTTTTATAAAAAAAATTCTGAAGACAGTTATTTGTATTCGGGGTCATTGAACGCTTTTCAAATTGAAAATCGGGTCCGACGTAAGACGGCCGTTATTTAGAGGTATCTTGAGACGGCCCTCGCCCTCCCGCCGCCACTCACGTCAACGGACAACGTCGCGTTATGGAACAATATACCCTAGTCCCTAGTTCAGGTTATGCTATGCGCAGGCCAATAACTTTTGGACGGCTCAGGCTGTTACCACGCCCAAAAATCGCAAACAGGCGCGTAACCACGAGTCTGAAGTTACTGGGGACCACATGGAGGGCCGCGAAGACCAAATATGATATTTCAGGATCAGCCTTCGCCGGAGTGTGTGTGTGTGTGGGGGGGAGAGTGTGTGTGGTGTTTTTGGCCACACCTGCCAGCTTATTTTACGCGTGTAAAGAAAACCGAGGCGCGCACCGCCGTGAAACTTGGTATAGCTTATGATACCTCAATTTCGCATCGTGTGTCAAAATTTTGACCCCAGGTCACCTAAGGTCAGGTCACCAGGACAAGTAAAGTAACCATGCCTCTAAAAACTTTGTGACTGTCATTCCTATAGCCTACATCCCAGAAGTTTGAAACTCGAGCTTTTACTTGAGGAAATCAGCATGAAAATTTCGTATACCTATCCCAAAGTTTTTACATCGGTGACCTAATGTCAAGTCATAGATAACATGAATGATTCATGTTATCTATGGTCAAGTCAATTTTATGACCTCTCCATTACCTATAGGTTATTTAGAGAAAATTGAAATGCTCTTCTTCTGGCCGAAAACACATTCAAACACCGTGACACGGGTAAACATGACACACTGAACCGGAAAATTGCACCTTTGACCCCTTTATGCCCCTCAGCTCATCTCAGGTCATGAAACATCTCCAACAGTTTTTTCCCCACAACTTTATGTAGTAACATGCTAGAGCGCTGAAACAGTATGAATGTGTTCAGCTCAACAATGCCAATCAAATGACATGCAACATGACCTTTTCCTTGATCTGGAACAGGGGTTAAATTTTGAAGTTGACCTTTTCAGGTCAACTTATAGTTCATTCACGCGTCTCGGTGAGACAAACGCGATGCCGGTAAAATCAGCGTCTTACAAGCTTTAAGTCCAAAGCTATGATGCAAAAACCTTTTCCGCAAAAACGTCAGCCTGGAAGCTAAAACGTTGATCTTAGGTCAAATCTGAGAGCATTTCTCAGAAAGGCCTTTGAAGGCGCTATCGAATGGGCTTTCCCGCAGCATTGCAGCTCATATTGGTTCCTGACTTATGCGCGTATTTGTGAAAAGTTGTCAAAATTGGGAATAAAATTTCGTGAAAATTTTACAATTGGTGACCTGTAGTGACCTCAGCGGACCTGATAAAAAATGATGTAGGTAATTCTGAAAGATACTGTAGCGAGTTATCTGTTGCTTTTTAACTCGTCTTTCTAGCTTGCTTACTTTCCGAGATAACCTGGTGTGGCCAAAAAGCCCACACCATGGCGAAGCTGGCTGAGAGGCCCACCCGGGCGCTGGGTAAACAAAACATCCATAGTTTTGTCTTACGTTGACTACATATTACTCCTCACGTCGATTTAGAGACAATATTTCGCTATTGTAGCAAATTGAAGTCGTCAGTTTTACTGGGGACGGTCCCCAGTAACCCAAAAGTTACTGGGGACCGGTCCCCAGTGTCCCCAGTGGTGGTTACGCGCCTGATCGCAAAATGTTATAAAATAAATAGCAATCCCAACGAATACCCTGGAATACGCTGAGCGGAAATCGCGGAATGTCACACTTGAACAATATCAACAACATGCAACAAATCCAAGCACAAGTCCAAGGTCATCTAAAGACGTCTGCTGTTGAAGCGTAGAATATGCGTAGAATGCATTTTGTTTAATTTCTTTATTGCCTTAGATTATCAAACTGAAATATAACTTGCGTTAGTTATAGTCAGCTTCTTTGAAAAATTTAGAACCTTTTCATGTACAAAATGACAATCATTTCGATTTCGAAATAATAAAAATCCTGGATATATCAGCTGAAAACCTTTGGACTTTTGTATACACTTATAACGCATTTCAGACAAAATATCGCGCATTGAAATTTTGCTTGGCTTCGGACCACATTATTTTGAATTTCATTTTCATCGCTATGCTTGTGCCAATATTGCTGGATATAGGCCGAGACCAAAGATTAAAAAGGAAATGAACAATCATATATTGCTTGTTATATTCACCTGCACTTCTGTTGCATGGTGTTCTTCTGGTGATAGGTCTGAGTTTTATCAAACTTGTGTGGCAAAGTGCTACAAAGAGAAATGTCGAGCACAGCAAGGTTTGTCAGTTTGATTTTTAGCCTAGGCATTGATTGAGGAAGGTCCTTTGAAATCTGATGGAATTAAATTATAATATCAGGTCTGGTAGTTGTGATCTGGCCAACAGTTGCAAATAATGATAGATATGTATGGCCAATATTTAGTGTTGTCAGCTTTCTTATCATAAATATTGCACATTACTCTCATTTAATAAAAGAGAAGACCAGCAACTTGACCTAAAGTCAGGATGAAATTCAAGAAGAGGTTTTTGTGATCAGGCTGTTCAGTTCTTAAATCCTCGGAGCCTGAAGAACTCGGATTGCAAATTATTGACAATTTAGTTAGCGTGTGTTGACTGAAAATAAATAAAGCTTTCTTTTAAGAAAGGTTTTCTTTATTGCTTATTTCTTTTGATTCTTGTATTTCATAAAATCTTTTCGCATTTCAATTTCCAGGTGATGGCTTCATTTGGAAATGTCCGGATGAATGCAAGTATGACTGCATGTGGAATACAGTTGATGAATTTGTGCAAAATGGGAGAACCACACCTCAGTTCCATGGCAAGGTGAATCATTTTGTGCCTGTTATGTATTCCTATATCAATGTCTCTTTGTCATATTTATCTTACCAGAACATTTGGACAAGTTATTGGATGACTAGGTATTTTTTATTTACTTAACAGTTTTTTAGAATGTAGGTATTGAATTTAAATATTGTTTCATTCTGCCATTGTTTATTAGTTCAACAGTCTCCTGCCTTTCATCTTCATCTGTTTATTTTCAGTGGCCATTTGTGCGCTGTTTGGGAATGCAAGAGCCAGCCAGTGCCATCTTTTCACTCATGAACCTGATGTGTCATGTGGTAATGCTGAGGCATTTCAGGACACTTGTGCCTCAGCATGCACCACTTTATTGGCTGTGGATCACATATGCACTGGTAAGTCACTTTTTCCCAAAAATAGTTGTGCTAACTGCTGATTCACCCACTCAGTCTAATGTCTGACAAAAATGCCTGATGGTTGTAGTTGGTCTGTCAGGCATCCCTCTGAGAAGTTTGTACCTTCTTAGCAAACTGGGGTCACTTGTGTGTGCTGTCACAACAGCACAATAGCCTACCCTCTCAAGATGCCGCCGTCGGTGCCGTTTTGACCATGTTTTCACTGCTCCTCAGGTGTGTATGAATGGCTGGTTCTGGTCCTTTGTGTTCCACACCAAAGACACTGACTCCACAGAGAAGCTGGACTATTTCTCTGCCTTCTCCATGGTTCTCTTCTCCTTTTATTCGGCCTGCATCAGGTAACTTCTGCAGCGGCATCGGGCATCAGTTCACGATAGAAACGACACTCACGGAACACATAAATTGGGAGTGCAGTTAAGTCACGTTTTACTCACAATGAAGTTCTTTTTTCCTTGACTATATCAGGCGACTGAGCAGTGAGCAAACTGGGCATACAAGAATCCGTTTTTTTACAACGAGCGTGTTTTTATTACAGGCTACTAGGCTCCCAAATGAGCCTTCCTTCGATTGCGGTCTCTCTTCTCTGCATGGGCTTCTTGATATACCACCTGTCGTACTTGTCTCTGGTCAAGTTTGACTATGGCTACAACATGAAAGCCAACATCTTTGTAGGTGAGTGATTATTCTTCCGTTGCCTAAATTATTTCCCAACACAAGCTACCTACGTCAAGTAAAAGTCAACAAAAAGGCAAAATATTTTGTAAAAATGTCATTGGTACCAGGCAGAGTCAGAGAACATTTTACAAGCCACAATGCTATCATTTTTGCATTAATCGTAAAGCAGTTCTTACGATAAATTTCATTTAGCTCTTAGCTACAGCGAATGCTTACAGAGTCGGTTTCATTGGTAAAATCATTGAATTTGTCACTGGATAATTAGTTTTACAGTCCGGATCGGTTTTTTCACCGCTTATCTCCTCGCTATCGTGAGCTCAGCTCGCTAATAAAACACAATCGCGGTTAGCCCGAACACACCAGTTAATATGACCCGTCCGCACACCGACAGGCGCCCTGAACGTGATCACTTGGCTGGTATGGTGCGGTCTGAAGCGGAGGACGCTGCCCTACGTGTGGAAATGCGCCCTTACCGTGACGCTTGTGTCCGTCTCCATCCTACTAGAGACCGCCGACTTTCCGCCCATAGCGTGGACACTAGACGCGCATGCGCTCTGGCATCTGAGCACGTCACCACTGCCTTTGCTCTGGTACAGGTGAGCTTTCTATGAACATTGAAATTAGCGCGAGGAAGTCATGTTATGACTTCGGAATCGAGGAGCAGTTGTTTGATGTGTTTAGTGGTCATTCTAGCGCAGGTGAAACACTGACCTAACTGTTCGCCATTGTTTCCAGTTTCCTCATCGATGACTGCCGACACCAGTTAGGAGTGAAGAAGCTGGAAAAGTCGGTGTGATGTGATATCGGAGATAGCTCGTGCCTTGATCGTACACCGCAACTGCTAAGGGTTTGGCGCTGTGTGAACAAATTGCAAGCCATCATTTCTGGATTCCTGAAGAGGACGGGACAAATTTCAACATCCGCTAGTCTCTGCATCGTATTTATAGCTGTTACAGTTATAGCTGCTCCGCTGGCCGTTGCGATGCTTGCATGCCATGTCGTGCCGGTGGTGCCCACTTGTGTTCAGTAGGGAAATGTATCAATGATGAGTGATCAGGGACTTCAAAATAAGGTCATGTATAGAGAGCGTCGGATGATTGACTCGCCAATGTTACCCTACGATGTTGATTGTTACATGACTGTTGTTGCTCAGCTGACGTAGGTATAGGTGCTAGGTAGTAATTGTATCGTGATTCCATACCCATTATTGTTCGGTGATCAGCACGACTATAAAGGACTGCTGGTTTTCCGTGTGAGGCTTTATTATGAATCATTCATATCGAGATATGGCGCTATCATTTGCTATCATTTTGGAGAAAGCCGTAGTCGTACGCATGTGCTTTCTGCTGTGATAATTTTATTGGTTTCATCGTCGATTGATTTTGTTGTTTGGTCCGACGAGGATGGGACAAATGACCGATGAACTTGTCAGCGAAATCTGATGAGTTCTCAGACTGAATATCATACATACTTGTAGGAGTACGTACAGTATGTCTAAAAAGTATGTCCCCTGGTTTGGCTCTCCCACAGGAGGCGAATCGGTAACTTGGCTGAATCCCAGTTGCGGCACCCGGCCGCCAGGGTCGCTGCCGCGCGAGCGGCCTTGACCGCTCGCATGTCATTGGCAGTTCGGTCCCTCCCCATCTATACCGAGGTGGGGAGGGGAGAAGAGGGGAAGAGAGGGGAGGGAGCGGCATCCGCTCGGCACTGGGCGATACCTGGCTGACCCCGCGCTCCCTCGCTGACCTCCGTCCTGCCCTCAGGCGAAGACCGACTTCCTCGGCCCGTAGCGGCCGAGCGGAAAACCGAGCTCGCAGGGCGCGACTCCATTGGCCCAATCTTATAAATGGAATGCTGTCGTATTCACGGCATTAGATAATATTAATAGTGATAGCACTAGCAGCAGTGGATGTGGTAAAATAGTCCAAAACAAACGAAAGCACACGATTGACGCATAATGCGCCCTCCTATTCAAATAAGCCCGCCCACTTCAATAGATGGTGTAGTTTCTTAGGGCGTAAAAGATGCAAAACACTACCAAACTTTTTTAGCTCGGCCACTGGGACCGTCAATATACAATTGACTGAAATGCATGAAAACCATTTTGCATTTAATAGCCGTTTTCTGCACCCAAACTTTGGTCAGTGACGCCCTGTCCATTCTAAAGCGTTTATAAGATTGGTCCCAGCACCCGATTTTGTATGAGGAAGTCGTTTAAGAAGCATCTTATCTCTAACCAATTTATTTATTATGGCCACTTTTACAGGACGTCTATAGAGCTTTGACATTTCTTCCTCGTTCAGGAGCAACGTTTTAACCCTCACCGGACCTTCAGGTTTTCTGAATACCGAGTGGGCGTTGGGGGGTTGGAAGATAGGGAACAACCCCCTTCGCCGATTCGCCCCTTATTGAGCTAGACTAGAGCCTCACGAAAGACACGATCGTGTGCGTCGTTACGAAATGCAGCGATTGGTCTCCGATTTTAAGGACTAGGATCAGCCGATGACTTCTGAGGTTAGGTCAAGTGGCCCAAGGCACATGTTCGGTTTTTGGTAAATAACTTCGCTAAAAATGATAGCAGATCCGCGATTTTAGCAGCATTGTGTTTGTCTAGCTCAGGCGTGTCGAATGGTATACATTTTCTTCGGGTGAGATCAAGTTAAGGTGTTAACCTCGGGGCAAGGTCAGGTCACAGCCCGTCAGGTCATGAAGCTGGTCAAAGCATATAGATCTTATATACAATTTAATTTAGAATAGTTTAATTCAAGTCGGTATGAATCCGACTTGACAATTTACTAGGTGGGTTTTGCAGCGCCATTACTGCATGTAATTATAAATCATTGCTAATTCCGATCCGGATATCGTTATTCAATGCTGGCCTTTGCGTCCTCAGAAAAGTTGTTTATAGTTATGAAGGCTTGCATTGACCCACACTTTCCATTTTTCAGCACCATTATTCGCCGTAGTTGACCAGGTATTTTCTTCAGCTCTCCCATGAATCATTTGGCTCGGACCCATGGCGTATCACCCGTGCATCGCAATACGCACCTACCACACACAAGTTCACGATCCCCACGAACCCACATCAGCGTCCGTTCGCTTGGTGTGTGACCCCTTGACCTTTGTCCGCGACAACTGCCAGCTTGCCGGAGCACCCCTCCCTACACGCGCTGCCCCGCCCGCTCCCTCTCTCCCTCCCCCCCCCCCCCCCGGGGTCATGTCACGAAGGTTCGGGCTTACGCTACTACCGGCCGCTGCGCAGCTGTCACCTGGCGCTTGGGAATGTGTGGTCTGGTGCGGATTCAGCCAACTACCGGCTCGCGACACCAGCGCCACGTAGTGGCGACGGTACATTCTTTTTAGACATACTGTACCTATGCTTCTACAGTCTGCAGCGTCAAACACCGGCTTTCTGAATCCGCCAAAGCTTACGACCACGGGACCAAATTACAAATGAGCATGAGACGATTTCACGTACTTAAAGGGACCCTCCCACCTTAACATTAGATTTGAGCTGAGATAGCCAAAATGGGGTCTCTGGCTCACAATTACCGGTTTCGGCACTCACAACATCGAGAAATGCCTTAAATCGGAAATATTGAATTTCAAAATTGCAGCATTTTGATTCAGAGGGGCTAATGCATAGGAATACCCCTCTGAATGTGTGACGTCAGCGCAGATATCTAACGATTTTTAAATGTTTGACTAAAACGTTTTGTAGCACGCGGTGGTATATGCTGCTTTGCGCGCAACAAATGCCGCACTTTCAAATAAAGTCGCTGGGAACAGCGGAGATCCCAAAAAGTAAACAAAATCAAAAGTCTAATATCTTGAAAACCGGTGAATATTTTTCGATGAAATTTGGTAGATATTCGTTTTTGCTCTTTCTGAACCGAGCCACATCACTTTCATGCCAATGCATTAACTTTTTTGAAGGTGGGAGGGTCCCTTTAATGCTTTTTTTTTTCAAGCTCTTAGTGGTTTACAAGATTGGTGATTGTTTTAACGTTCGTGGTTTGGTGTTTCCCTAAATGTAAGCATGCATCCTGTTTCATTCCTCAATCCTTTCTCGTCGCTGATAGCGAGTGGTTTTGTTACAAGCAATAAATAAAATAACCAAACTATTTTAATGTTTTGCACGGCGGCAGGTGAAGCTGGCTGAAGCATTGATTCAATTATCACAGAAAACCGCTCATGGAAAGCCTGAGAACGCATTCATTGTTTCCATTTTACTGTTATCGGATCCAGGTGAGGGAACTAGCGCTGAATTGCATTTGACTTTTTTATAATTTTTCCTGCCTTCTTTGCATACTCCCTGAGCGCCCTGAGCAATGTATTGACGTGTTTGAGTGGCGAATAAAAACGAGGCGTTTTTCTCTTGTCTCTTTCTACGAGTTTTTGGAACTCGAAGAACCTTGTGGGATTCGCAGCAATCCTTATCACATTTCTGGATGCCTTTGTGTCTTCAGACTGCATGCCACCACACCACAATGGCCAATGATAACATTTTGCAGAAAATAAGGTAGCGCAATATCAATGCAAAATTGAGCATAATCTTCTTCGTGTGTAAATCGTTTATCATGTGTTTGCTTGATAGCAGTTACAGACACTTCCTGGCTTTTTCGGCAGCACCAAATTCTATAAGCACTGCAAAGAAACTGCAAGTAGGTAAAAGCGGTAAAAGGTATAAACGGTAATCTTGGTCGAAGTAGATGAGTAATGGGAATAGTTATAATTTAATGGTTGCTTCTCTTTAAGTCCTGACGTAATAAACTTCGCTTACGTTCGCTGCTGTGATATTCCAAGAACATGATTTTCAATTCGGAACACAAGTTTGTGGCGGCGATGACGGATAGGGGCGGGTCTCCCTATCTTATCTATTGCAAAGTGACTCTTATCGTATTTCCTTCGTTATCGACTTCGTCGCCACGCTTGAGCAAGGGGTGAGTGGACGGTGGCGTTATCTTTTATTTAAATTAGTTGTGAGTTTACATCTTGGATTTGTTCGATTAGTCATTACTGTGCTTTTTATACACGTAGTTGGAAGTTTTGAATCATTTTGAGTTCGGCTGAAAGGTTTGTTTTTATTTTCTCCCGGTGAATAAGTTTTGCCATGGATTGGTAATCCATGGCTCCTAGCATCCAAGCTCCTACTACCAAACGCTGGGGCTGCGAGCATGCTGCTACTTCTTGGCTCCTCGCTGATCATATTCAAGTGCTCTATTCGTTAGACCAATGAGAGGCCAAGAAGCACCAGCAATAACTTCCTTATAATATGGGGAAAACCCACAGCACGCTGATATAAAAATAGTGACTGAACACAGTGCCCTGGATTCAACCAATTTGACATTGGCTGGGCAATGGGCATGGTGCTATGATAGGGTCTACTACACTGCTCTGCTCCATGCTAAATCAGCACATTTATTTGTCTGCACCACATGGTTTGCTGGCCAAGTGTCTGAGCTGGCAGCACCCAGCCCCCCACTCAGACTGCAGCATGTGGCAACAAGGTCAATAGATCACACCATCCAGGGTGACAAATCTGCATCAGCTCAAGTCAATCAGTCTGAAAATTGGTTTGGCACCATTCAGGTAACTTACAGAACCAACTTGGGTAACTTTGGTGGGCAAATGTGCGAACCACATATTGTCTCTCATAATTTTCTTGGACAGTGATGCACCAGCAATCAGCATAGCAGCACAGTACAATACCATACCACAGGCCCACACCCCACACTCCACTACTCAAAATCTGCACCACACCATGGTAAATTGGCATCACACCGCAAACTGGCTGAGTGCCTCTGCAAGCACAAGACCTTGTCACAGTTGCCATGTCTTTGCAGTTTGGGCTTGGTCTCCAACCAAATATAGTTACAATTATAAGGATTTGCAATCTAGGATTATTAATGTCATCATGTCATCGTCAGTCTTGTTTGTAAATATCATCATGGCTGAGTCTGACATGGCATGACCCTCAGGGCCTGTTCTCTGTTTCAGGTTAACTTCAGATTTCAGTGATGGAGCCAGAAGAGAACATTGGTAAGATTTTTATATGTTATTATTTGCAGTAAGCAGTGGAAAAGTGAAACCATTCTAAGCCATTCAGGATTATATATCAAATAGAAGACATGTTTGCCATGATGTTTTCATCATTCACTCTATGTTTTTTGTTGAAATTCTGCATGAGTGATTCATGTCAGTTTCATTTATTGTTATTTAGATACAAGCTAAGCTGACATTTAGATT